TTTTTTTTTTTTTGCACAAAAGTTGGATTTTGTTCTGAAAGAAATTGGGCTTTTTAGCCAAAAAAAAAAATATTATATTTTTTAGCCAAAATTTTGCGAGTTTTTCAGTGTGAAATTTGCGTATTTTATTTGGGGAAAAATGCTGATTTTTTTGGCAGAAAAATCGGATTTTTTAAGCAAAAAAAAATCAGATTTTTTAGTGGAAATAATCTGATTTTATTGGAGAAAAAATTCCAGCTTTTTCAGAAAAAAAATCTAGTTTTTTATTGATAAATCCGATATTTTAGTGAAAAAAAATACGACTTTTTAATGAAAAGATGGGATTTTATTTGGGGGAAAATGGGAATTTTTTAGTAAATAATTGGATTTTTTTTAGTTAAAAAAAAGGGCATTTTTAGGCAAAAAATGGGATTTTTTTAGTGGAAAAATGGGATTTTTTAGTGGAAAAAAGATTTTTTTGGGGGGAAAATTGGGATTCTATTTGGGGAGAAAATTCCCATTTTTTGGGAAAAAAATCTAATTTTTTTGGTAAAAATTGGATTTTTTTGGTGAAAAATGGGATTTTTTTATTTGGGAAAAAATGGGATTTTTTGGTGAAAAATGGGATTTTTTTGGGGGAAAAATGGGATATTATTTGGGGGAAAATAGGAATTTTTTAGTGAAAAAATTGGATTCTTACTCAGAAAAATGGGAGTTTTTTGGTGAAAAATGGGAATTTTTTAGTGGAAAAATAAGATTTTGGGGAAGAAAATGGGATTTTTTTGTTGAAACAAATGGGATTTTTTTTGTGAGAAAAATGGGATTTTTCTGGTGAAAAATCAGATTTTTTGGGTGAAAAATTGGATTTTATTAGGGAAAAAATGGGATTTTTTTTCGGGAAAAAAAACGTGATTTTTGCTCCGTTTTCGATCTTTTTATTTAACTTTAAATCATTTTATTAAATTGTCATTAATTTTTAATTAATTTGAATTAATTATTATTTATTTTTTCCCAGGGACAATGGGCGGGGCTGGCTCGGGACCGGTTTGGGAGCCGAGTGCTGGACACGGCCTGGGCCAGCGGCGACGCCCGGCAGCGAGCCCGGCTGGCCACCGAGCTGGGTCCGGCGGCCACCCAAATATTTCGGGAATTTTGGGAAAATTTGGGAAAAACTTGGGAATTTTTGGGTGGAATTTGGGGGAATTTCGGGGTTTTTTGGGGGTTTTAATGGGATTTTAATGGGATTTT